ACCATTGTCGCAATACATGGAAGCATAAGAACTGACACTACATTTGAAATGGGATTTGATTATTGACTACCGGTAAACGAACTCAGCTTTAGAGTGGGGATTATGTTAACACCACTAACCAAACCTTTGAATTCCTCCTCCCAATATGCCGTGACACTCGGCACCATAGCCGCTGTGCACACGGAGTCACTTTCTCAACCCCATACTTAGCAGTACACGGATTTAGCTTCAATGCTGGATTTGTGGAACATAATAAATACTGGTACATACTCTAGAAGCTATGTACCTTTTCTTCAATATTCGTAATCACTCGCATAGTCTTTTCACTCGACTGACTCGTCTCAACTCCGTAGCACAAGCTCACCAGGTAGCTGTGTTCACTTTCTAAACCCTATATATATACATATACATATATATATATTGGTTTGACTACGTCCTTGCTTTATTCCACACTGCTTAGTTCTCGTTGCATGCTCTGTTTCCCCTCATCCCTTCTCATATGGGTATTACCCCAGACTGTTGTGCATCACCCTCCTGTTCCAGATTCGGTTNCACGGATTCACTTTCCAAACCCCATACTTAGCAGTACACGGGTTCAGCTTCAATGCTGTATTCGTGAAACATAATAAATACTGGTACATACTCTAGAAGCTATGTGACCTTTTATTCAGTATTCGCAACCATTCGCATATCCTTTTCACTCGACTGACTCGTCTCAACTCCGTGGCACAAGCTCACCATGTAGCTTTGTTCACTTTCTTAACCCAAAATATATATTGGTTTGACTTCTTTCTTGCTTTATTCTACACTGCTTAGTTGTCGTTACATGCTCTGTTTCCCCTCATCCCTTCTCAGCTGGGCATTACCCCAGACTGTTGTGCATCACCCTTCTGTTCCAGATTCGGTTGGGTTGGGCCCGCCGAAGGCTTGGGGTCTATGGCATCAATGGACAGTTTGGCTCCGGCAAAGGTTGTTGGGCGCGGCCGTTTTCACCGCTTTGACTACTACCAGGTTGTGGATCGCACCCCCTGCCTAACCTACAAGGTGTTTTAAGGTTGGGTGTCCAGTGTGTAGTCAGTCCCACATCAAAGCGACCTACGCCTAAATAATATAAATAAATAAAAACACACAATCCGTCCACGGTTATGCCCTGAAGCCTCTCGTTCCTTGGTTCCGAAAAATTTCGAACTGTATGGACATTTGCAATCCTTTATTTATAATCCATTGTGCGTCTCTCTTCGTATAAATCTGCTCCTCCCCAGCTCCATTGCAGTCTTTTTTTCCCAATATCCCACATGTTTCATCTTCGCTATATGCCTGCTCCTGAACTTGTTTCATCTAGTTTTCTCCTGAACGACTTTCTCAATCTGTGGGTCTTGCCAAATTTTTTCATAAGACAAACTCTCATTTGCTTGTTGTCCATAACAATTCACCTTCTGTGTTACATATTATGACCTTTGTCCATCTTGTGTTCCGTTTTCACGGAAAACACCACTTTCATGATATCTTCTATATCACTTTGCCTATTCTTAAACTCTGTACTATCACTTACTGTCCCCACTGTAATTTTATACTATTGTACATTTGATCATGCGTACAAGCATGCTTCACGGGCTTCGTGAAATATACTATTATTATTATTAATATTATAACTCATGTGAGTCAAAGCAAAAAAGCAGCTCTGCATCTTCATTATCAGTCGCACCAACGACTCGGGTTCGTTCCCTGCTTTGCGTGCCTCGGTCAGCACCCCATCTATCAGTGTCCGTGCTACGTGGAAAGGTTGACCGAACAATTCCTTTAGA